CAGAAAACCGGAAGTGGTGCTGTGGCTCAAGTGGTACAGCGCTAGGCTTGAATGAAAGGAGCTCAGGGGCAGCGCCCAGGCTCAGAGTTCAACCCACAGAACTGGCAAAAAAAAAAAAAAAAAGAAGGAAGGAAAGAAGGAAAAGAAGTGAAATGAGACAGAGAGAACTGGATAAAATGGTGAAATAAAACCAGAGGAATTCGGGCACCAGTGGCTCACACCTATAATCCTAGCTACTCAGGAGGGTGAGATCTGAGGACTGCAGTTCAAAGCCAGCCCAGGCAGGGAAGCCTGTGAGACTCTGGGCCTGGGTACTGTCCTTGAGCTCTTCAGCTCAAGGCTAGCGCTTTACCACTTGAACCAGCACCACTTCTGGGTTTTGGTGGTTAATTGAGGACAAGAGTCTTATGGACTCTCTTGCCCAGGCTGGCTTTGAACCAAGATCCTCAGCCTCCTGAGTAGCTAGGATTACTGGCGTGAGCCACCGGTGCCAGGCTCTGTGAGACTTACATCTGATAAATCACTCAGAAAACCAGAAGTGGTGCTGTGGCTCAAGTGGTAGAGCACTCACCTTGAGCTGAAGAGCTCAGGGACAGCCCCCAGGCCCAGAGTTCAAGCCCCCTAACCGACAAAAAAAAAACAAAAAACAGAGGAGCTGTAGCGCATGTACATATACTACAAAGTCTCATGAAAGTATGCGAGGTATTTTTTTTTATTTTTTATTTTATTTTATTTTTTTTTTGGTCCAGTCATGGGCCTGAACTCTGGGCCTGGGCGCTGTCCCTCAGCTCTTCAGCTCAAGGCTAGCGCTTTACCACTTGAGCCATGGCTCTAATTTTTTTTTTTGGGGGTCCCAGTCATGGGCCTGAACTCTGGGCCTGGGCGCTGTCCCTCAGCTCTTCAGCTCAGGCTAGCGCTTTACCACTTGAGCCACAGCACCACTTCCAGCTTTTTTCTTTTTTCTTTTTTGCTTATGTGGTGCTGAGGAATCGAACCCAGGGCCTCAGGCATGCAAGGCAAGCACTCTGCCACTGAGCCACCTTCCCAGCCCAGGTACTTTTTTTAAAGATGCAATTTGAATTCAAAAATCAAAATCACGTTTGAACCAGTTCTGGGAGAGATGCGTGTTTATTTGTACTATTAACCCTTCAGCTCCCAGCACCCCTCATGAGACGTGTCCATCATAGCGGGCTGGGCACTTATGTGATGAAGCCCTGCCCAGCAGCGGCCGGCTACCCCACTTCATAACTTGTACCTCCCAGCTTTGGTAGACAAGGTTAGCCTCCGACGGCCCACGTGCGTGTCTTGAGCTGCAGACAGGGGTCCAAGCAGGCTGGGGCCCTTGAGTCCCCTATTGGGGCTCCCAGAGGGGACCAGATTAGTGGAATGTTTCTGTCAGGACACCTACCCACCACACCGACTCCAAAGCGGATGGTGAGAGACGGTGGGGAGCTGGAGACAGTCCTGCGAGGGCTGGGCCGGGACGGCCTCCTGCCGCCCTGGGGGTCGCTTGGTGAGATCCCTGACATTTTCCTTCCCTTTGAACGTGATCAAATAGTGCTCATGCTATGCTACCCGGTGCACAGGACCCATTGTAAGTAATTCCCTGCGTTTCGGGGTACAGAAGAGATTGAAGCATGCCCTAACTGGCCTCACTACACTGCACGGCATCTTCTTAGCATCAAAGGCCGCTGACCAGATGCTGCCCCTGTGGCCCACCAGCTGGTCCCAGGGTCGTGGACAAGCCCCTGCGTCCATTTGACCCTTGGTTTCCTCATCTGAGAAGAGAAACGATGATACTGGATTTCAAGCTCCAGTATAGAGCTGACATGAGCGCCCAGCATTGCTGTGTGCTCAGCAGAGACGTCTCTGTGATTGATAAAGGTGGACTTGGAATTGAAGTGCTGTTAGTGACTTCAGAGCCACCCCCCCCCCCGTGCCTCTCTGAATGAAATGGAGGGGTGCAGGCCCCCGCAGGGAGCAAGCTGTTGATGTAGTGATTTGTCACCACTCTGTGAATGTACTGATAGAAACACACGGCAGCTTTGGTGTGCATTTTACCCAATTAAAAAAGACTGTCAAAGCCAGGCGCTGGTTGCTCACGCCTGCAATCCTAGCTACTGAAGAGGCTGAAATCTGAGGATCACAGTTCAAAGCCAGCCCAGGCAGGAAAGTCGGTGAAACTCTTATCTCCAATAAACCACCAGAAAACCGGAAGTGGTGCTGTGGCTCAAGTGGTAGAGCACTTGCCTTGAGCTGAATTGCTGAGGGACAGCGCCCAGGCCCAGAATTCAAGCCCCATGACCAACCCTACCCCCCCCCCCAAAAAAAGACCGTCAGATATTTGGCCAAGCACCTGTCCCACTACTCAGGAGGCTGAGAGAATCACTTGAGCTCAGCAGTTGAGGCCAACATAGCAAGACTCTCAACACAAAAATAAATGAATGGATGTTTGCTTCTCTTTTTTTCTGCCAGTCCTGGGGCTTGAACTCAGGGCCAGGGTACTGTCCCTGAGCCTCTTTGTGCTTAAAGCTAGCGCTCTACCATTTGAGCCACAGTGCCACTTCCGGACTTTTCTGAGTAGTTTTTTTTGTCGGTCGTGGGGCTTGAACTCAGCATGGGCACTGTCCCTGTGCTTTTCAGCACTGAACCGCTTGAGCCACAGCGCCACTTCCAGTTTTCTAGTGATTTATTGAGATAAGAATCTCACGGAGTTTCCTGCCCAGCCTAGCTTTGAACCATGATCCTCAGATCTCAGCCTTCTGAGTAGCTAGGATGACAGGCATGAGCCACTAGTACCCGGTAAATGTTTGTTTGTACAAGTTGCTATCTGTTCGATCCCTGTCCTCAGGGAGTTGGGGTCAGGGGAGATGTAATTTGAGATAGAAATTTCTATAGACCCATTTCCCACTTGCTTCTTGCTCTTTGTTTTTTTTCTATTTAGTTTTTATTTGTTATTGTTCTCATAAAGATGATGTACAGAGGCTCTTTGGTTTGTTGTTGGTTTTTTGGTTTGGTTTGGTTTTCTTGGTGCCAGATAGGGTCTTAAACTCAGGGTCTGGATATGGTGCTTTTACTTTTTTGCTCAAGGCTGGTGGTCTACCACTTGAGCCACACACAGCTCTGCTTTCTGCTTCTTGGGTGGTTAATTGGCAGTAAGTCTCATAGCCATGCCTGGGCTAGATTGGAACTTCCATCCTAGTATCTCAGCACACTGAGTAGCTAGGATTGCAGGCGTGAGCCACTGGTGCTGTTTGCCTCTTATTCGTTTATCCTGAAACAGTACCTGGTTTCTTTTTGTTATTGTTGTTGTTGGTTGTGGGGCTTGAACTCTGGGCCTGGACGCTGTCCCTCAGCTCTTCAGCTCAGGGCAAGTGCTCTACCACTTGAGCTAAACAGTGCCACTTCCAGTTTTCTGGTGGTTTATTGGAGATAAGAGTCTCATGGACTTTCCTGCCCAGGCTGGCTTCGAACCGCGATCCTCATATCTCAGCCTCCTGAGTAGCTAGGATGACAGGCTGAGCCACCATTGCTGGGTTTGCCTCTTGTTCGTTTATCCTGGAGCAGTTCCTGGTTTCTAAGCACCCGCGTCATGGATCGAGGAGCAGGATCGTGTCGCCGCAGTGCTGTGTTCCCCAGTCCCTGGCTGTCTCTGTGCAGCTTCTTTCTCCTTGAACACCACTCGGGTCCTGGTCATCTCCCTCCAGGTGGGGGAACATACAAAGCTGGGGGCAAGTGTATTGCCCTTGTCTTCAGAAACGCTGGGGTGCGATCAGCACACCCTGCATTAGGCGCACCCACCTCCCACTGCCCTGAGCCTCTGTCTGCTGAGCCTCTAGTCTGCTGCCCTGGGAGATGGAGCTGACCGCACCCCTCCCACCCCAGCTCCCAGGAGGGGCAGAGATGAGATGAGGCTGCCAGTTTTAACTTAGCACAGCACCCGTGTGCTGCCCCTGCCTGTCACAGGTCGGGGCCCCACACAAGCCTTGGTGACCAGGGTTCTGTCTGCTCCGCAGGAGTTCATCCGCCTGGGCAGCCTCAGCAAGCTCTCGGGGAAGGGACTCCAGCAGCGCATGTTCTTCTTGGTGAGTAGTGCCCCCCTTCCCCCCCCCCCCCCCCGTGGGCCAGGAAGGCTTGTAACCACGCCCCTCTGCACGGAAGGCTCGTGACCACGCCCCTCTGCGGGCAGGTGCAGAAGGCTCGTGACCACGCCCCTCTGCACAGAAGGCTCATGACCACGCCCCTCTGCGGGCAGACGCAGAAGGCTGGACAGGTTGAGGCTCCGGTTGCACAGAGGGCCTGGCTGGTTTTAAGCAGAGATGACGCAGCCCCACCCCCCTTCTGCTTGTCCCTCTAGTTCAACGACGTGCTGCTGTACACCAGCCGGGGCCTGACGACCTCCAATCAGTTTAAAGTCCACGGGCAGCTCCCCCTCTACGGCATGACGGTGAGCACAGGCGGGTGGGAGGGGGGAGGAGGGACCACAGCCCACCTATAGAATGGCCCTTCTAGCCAAGCACTGGTGGCTCACGCCTGTAATCCTGGCTATTAAAGAAAATAATTAAAGCCAAGCAGCGCCAGTGGCTCATGCCTGTAATCCTAGCTACTCCGGAGGCTGAGATCTGAGGACTGAGGTTTGAAGCCAGCTCAAGCAAGAAAGTCCATGAGACTCTATCTCCAATTGACCACCAAAAAGCCTGAAGTGTCGCTGTGGCTCATGTGGTTGAGCACCAGCCTTGAGTAAAGAAGTCACTCAGGGACAGCGCCCAGCTTCCGAGTTTAAGCCCTAGGACTGGCACCAAAAATACATAAATGAATGTATCAGCAAGTGTTGGCCTTCCCTCCCGCCTGTCCTAGGCTGATCCCCTGGGCGGGGCCCGCCCACCCTGGTTTCACCTTTGGTGTCCTGGTCAGTTTGGGGGTCATCAGCACACACGCGTGTGCCTGCAGTAACACGGCCGCTCTCGCCCGCAGGTGGAGGAGAGCGAGGATGAGTGGGGCGTGCCCCACTGCCTGACCCTCCGCGGCCAGCGCCAGTCCATCATCGTGGCCGCCAGGTAACCCCAAGCCTGACCTCTGACCTGTGTGCCTTTGACCTGCTGTGCTCAGCAAAGCTGATGCCTGTGTCCATCTTCAGTTCCAGGGCCGAGATGGAGAAGTGGGTGGAGGACATCCGGATGGCCATCGACCTGGCCGAGAAAAGCAGCGGCCCCTCGGCCGACTTCCTCGCTAGCAGCCCTCCCGACAGCAGTAAGTGGCAGGGGCCCAAGGCCACGCGTGGCTCAGGAACATCTGTGGAAGGGAGCTCCAGACAGCATTTCTAGCCCCCCAGCCCCACCCAGAGTTCCAATTCACGACCCTCCCCTTTCCTGGAGTGAACCCCTGGAAAAGTAGGGAGCAGGGCCGTCAGCACCTACGGAGGGAGGAGGCCGTCTGCCTGAGGCCTGCAGGCCCGGTGCTCACCAAGAGTCCCTACCCCTGCGGAGGCAGGGAGGCTGGGGGTGGAGGCCCACGCGGGGCCCTCAGGCCCAGCCTGCATCTCGGGGCAAGGAGGAAGCAGTAGCGCTGTCCCTGTCCCCCCTCCTAGAGTCCCCGGAGGAAGCCCCCGTGGCCGACCAGGAGTCGGAGGATGACCTGAGCGCCTCCCGGACCTCGCTGGAGCGCCAGGCCCCGCACCGCGGGAACACCATGGTGCACGTGTGCTGGCACCGCAACACCAGCGTCTCCATGGTGGACTTCAGCATCGCCGTGGAGGTAAGCGCGCATGCGCCGTCAGCCGGGCTGAGGGCCACGGTGACTGTGAAGCCTTCCAGACCTTTCCAGGCCATCTGTAGTCCAGCCCAGTGCAGTGCAGTCCAAGCCCAGAAGCTTGCCAGGACAGGAAAGCTTGCTTCCCTCCCTCCCGGTCGGACCAGCTCCTGTCCTGGCCGATCCAGGCTGTCTAGCGTTGAAGCTACCCGAGGTGAGAGTCTCACAGACGTTCATGCCTGGGCTGGCCTCCAATCTCAGTCCTCAAATCGCAGCCTCCTGAGTAGCTAAGAGGACATGCCTAAATCACCAGCACCCAGCCACACTCACTCTAAACATAGACCAAGTCCCAGCTGTGATGGGACTGTAGTGTCACACTGCGGTCACCGGGTGCAGGGATTGGAGCCTCTCTTCAAGTCCTCTGTGGCCTAGAAATACTGTGTTATCCTGGCCCCGTGGGCAAGGGGTCTACACGGCCTTCCCTACATGGCGGGGGGGGGGGGGGGGGGGGGGGGGGGGGAATGGGAATACATCCTTCCCCTAAAGCACGGGTCCAAGATCGCCACAGGCCAAACCTAGCCTACCACCTGGGCACGTACAGCTATGAACCAGTAGTGGGTTTGATGGAAAGCTTGGAAGCCCCAAAAGCACGTAAAGTCACTGTGAATTTTTGAGGGACCTGAAGGGCTAGATGGAGCCCCTAGAACCAAGCAGGAGAGCTCCCACCCTGGCCCACTAGGTGGCAGTCAGGAGCCCTTCGGTCCTTCCAGCTCTCCAGAAAAAGAACCACACACCAGGGGCTTTGACATTTCTTGCCAGTCTGGAAGCTAAAAGTCAAAACTCAAGATATTAGCCTGTTATGGACCCCCTGAAGCCTGTGGGGAGCCTCAGAGCCCCTCTCCAGCTTGTTCCTGGCTGCCAGGTATTGTGTGGCTGTGGATGCTGTGGTCTCTGCTGATTGTACACCGTTCCTTGCCTCCGTGCCCCCATGACTCCTCAGCAGACCCCACTGACACTGGAAAAGGACTCGTGAGACCCTGCTCACCTCATCATCTCCTGAATAAGGTCAAATCCTGAGCTGCTGCAGGCAGGGCCTAATCAGATCGGGCTCTGAGTTTAACCCCCAGTAATACAAAATTAATTTAGAAGTTAAAACGGGAGTTAAATCTGGGTACCAGTGGCTCACACCCTGTAATCCTACTCAAGAGGCTGAGATCTAAAGATCGGCAGTTTGAAGCCAGCCCTGGCAGGAAAATCTGAGAATCTTATCTCCAATTAATCACCCAAAAAGCCGGAAGTGGAATTGTGGCTCAAGTGGTAGTGACTAGCCTTGAAGGGGGGGAAAAAAGCTCAGGGACAACACCCAGACCCTGAGTTCAAGCCCCAGGACCGGCACAAAAACAAACACAAAACAAGAGTCAGGCTCATACAATGCAGGTGTTTCTCCCTGTGCCCGTGGCCAGCAGCCCTTCGTACCAGGACACCGCCAGGGACCACGTCCTGGAGGCTAGCTGCACTCGGCCAGTATGGGTCTCCATCTGGGCATCTGACCGGCCCGTTCATCTTGTAGAACCAGCTGTCCGGGAACCTGTTGAGGAAATTCAAGAACAGCAATGGCTGGCAGAAGCTGTGGGTGGTGTTCACAAACTTCTGCCTGTTCTTCTATAAATCACACCAGGTAAGTGTTCCCTAGGGGACAGGGAACCCTGGGCCTCGGGGGTAGCTCACTCCTGGAGCCGCAGCAGTGGCTCAGCCTTTCTGGCCTCTGAGCCCTTGGGTGCAGCCGCCTGGGCTCCCAGAGTCACTGGTGGGTGGGGGCCGCATGCTGCTGCCCCAGAACACTCTGCCTCTGCCCCTCCCCAGGACAATCACCCCCTGGCCAGCCTGCCTCTGCTGGGGTACTCTCTCACCATTCCCTCTGAGTCCGAGAACATCCACAAGGACTACGTCTTCAAGCTGCATTTCAAGTCCCACGTGTACTACTTCCGGGCCGAAAGTGAATACACGTTTGACCGGTAGGTGTCGTCACCTGCAGGTGGAAACCTTCCCAACCCCAGGGCTCTGTTTGTAGCCGTGTGTGTGTGTGTGTGTGTGTGTGTGTGTGTGTGTTCAAAAGTCCTCATGAGGAAGGAGAGAGCTCAGCTGTCCCTGGGTCCCCTCTTGAGTATCATTACTGGGGTGCAATGACACCCCAATACAGTAGTCTTCATCTAACCAAGAAATCTGTGAAACAAAGCCAGGCCTTGGCTTGAGACGGCTCCTGAAATTCCGATGTCCAGTGGAAATATTGGGCTGAGGCACTGATCCTCTCACAGAACTCCAGCCTTCTGGCATACCCACCTCTGGCCGGGCTCCTTGGGTTACGGGTAGGAAGGCGGCAGTTACCAACCAGAGCTGTCATGTTGCTGGGGGAAGAGTTTCCACAGAACAGGAACTTGTTCCGTTGGTGCCCCCAGTGCAGTTCTAAATCAAGGGGCCAGTGATGGGCCGTGCACGGTCCCTAGAGTTCCATGAAAAGAGACAATGGGATAAAACCAGTTTAACATCCCCAAGCAAACAAAAAGGCAGATCCTGAATGACACTACCTGGAAGATTGTACTTCTTAGACTCTATCCTGGACTGGAAAATCTAGACTAAGAGGCTGCATTTAGGAGCTAGGTTTATCCAATTTGAGGTCTGTTTCTGGTGGTATCTGGATAATGTGGCCTTCAGTGGCGTAGGCCTGAGGGCTGGGAGTGGGGAGACCCCGCTCGCTCAGCCTCAGCCTTCTGAGGGTAGATCAGATGATGGGATGTTGGACCTTGTGGACTGACACCCCTGAACTCAGGGATGATGCCTCGGGAGGTCTCCCAGGTCTCACTGAGAACTACTGGCTCACCAGATACCCAAAGCAGAGTTCCTACACCATCTCCCAAAAGGTTTAGGAGGTAGAGGTCTCCTACATGGCCAGCTTGCCACCAACCGCTCAAAGTGGAGCCTGCTGCCCTGCTCCTCGAGATGAGCACGCCCAGGCCCAGGGTTTCCAAACTGTGTTCCTCAGGAACCCTCACTTTTCTGCTAACGTGGCCAGTAGAAACTCAGTGGTCTCCCATCAGGTCATGTTTCTATGACCACCAGGTGACACGAAGCCCTACACACACACACACACACACACACACACACACACACACACACACACACAGAAGACAAATCAGAGCTGGGGCTTAAGAGTGACGGAGAATAGTGACGTCTTCCTCTGTTGCAGGTGGATGGAAGTGATCCGAAGCGCTACCAGCTCAGCCTCCAAGGCCCACATCTTGAGTCACAAAGAGTCTCACGTGTACTGACTGCACGCGGCTGGCCGACGCAGCTGTGGCGGTTGCCCCGGAAGGCAGTGAAATCTAGCGAATATTCCACAGCTGTCTGAACCAAAGGTGGTTCTACAGCAAGTCTGCCCTTTTCCCTCCCTCCCTCCCTCCGCAGATGTCTTCTCCACCGTTAATCTCTCATTGGAACGGCAGCCTCCCTCCGCCAGGCCGGGGACTCGGTCAGTCCCAGCCACCGGGGGCTCTTTTCAGCTTGTGCCAGTATTGAATTGAATCATTAAGAGTGCCAAATGCCATCTCCCCTCCCCACTCCCACCCCGTGCAGCCTGAATGCAGCGCGTGCTCTTCTTTTTCTTAGAAAAGGACTTTTATTACTTTTCACCTGTAGGCTGCTGTTTTTAAAAACAAAACAAAACAAAAAAAAGGATTTTTTTCCCAGTGTTGGCGATGCACATGGCACAGTCTTAAAGCTAATGAGATCATTTTCAGATTTCGGGTCCCCCCCCCCTTTCTACTTTTGTAATACTAGGACGTTTGTACGACTCACTTTGCTTGACAAGGGTCTGCGGTGTGCTCCGTTTTGCCCAGGGGGGCTCGGGTCCAAGGGGGGGTGGGGGGCAAGCAGACCTTGGTGGAAATTGACCAAATTGTTTGTGATTGCTATTGACAAACTGTAGCGGGGTTGTTTTTCTGTGAAGAGAAGCAGAAATCCAGTGCAATACCTGGACTGTCGCTGTACTGTGCGTGGTATATACAGTGAGGACGTGATAGGCTGTGGTGTTTTGCTGTCTGTGTCACTAGCATGAGAACCTGTATGTCACTGACTGGGGCCATTGGTAGGGTTCCCGCCAGAGGGCGGTGTGCGCACTGTGGATGTGGGAGCCTGCTGGGTAATGGTACAGTACACGGTCCCGGCCCTCGGCTGGACCCTCCCCCTCCACCATGGTTTGAACCTGCACATTCTCTAGTAGTTATCTCTTGTGCCTGTCTTCAAAATAAGTCTTTGTTTTTACACACATCTTCTCCCCCCACCACCACCCCAGGCATGGCGGATGGACAGGGTGACAGGATGCATCCTGGACAGACTCCACCAGGAACCTAGTTGCCAACAACCACTTGGGCCTGAGTGGGAAAACGTCCGCCTGTTCCCTGCGGTGACTGGGTTTGCCGCCATTCCCTTCATGTTCTTGAGCCTTTCTAACTACCCCCCCCCCACAACCAGGGAAGCCATGGGCACCCCCACCCATGTCCTGGAGCCGCGGACTGACCGGCATCCATGCCTGACAGATGGATAAAGAGCTCGAGATATGTTAATCATTTTGCCTTACAATATGTACCAGATGGTTTTAAATACTAACAAAAGGGAATAAAAATACCTCACGCCACAATCCAGCATATTGACATTTTAAGGCAAAACAACCACCCTGGCTCTTGTCTTTATTGCCGTCTTGCGGGATAGATGTGGAGGGGAACAGGACAGACTCGAAATGATACGGAAAACTTGGGGAGATGAGACTGATAATGGCTGGAGGCTCGGACAGGAAATGAACACCCAAGAAAGGTGTGTGTGTATGCGTGTGTAGGGTCCTGCCTTCTGCATGGCAGGAAGTCCCTGGTGAAAGGGGGGGGGGGAGTTGGCACCAAGCAGTACAGTAGCAATGGTATCAAAAAAATGCTCCAAGTCACCTGTCAGCCAGGCTCTAGTGGCTCACACCTTTAGCTACTTAGAAGGCTAAGACTTAAGGATTGTGGTTCCAAACCAACCCTGGGCTTATCTCCAGTCCTTAACTCGTTAACCAGCAAAAAGCTGAAGTGGAGGAGTGGCTGGATTGGTGGAGCACCATCCTTGAGCAAAAAAGCTTAGGGAAAGCGCTCAGACCCCAAGTTCTAGTACTAACATGTACACATCATGTCATTAAGACTTGTGGACAAAGTGGCTGCTACTTCAACATTTATGAATAGTTCCAAACCATCAGCTGGACATCTATGCCCAGCCACCAGGAAGAGGTGGTGTTCTACCCTCCATGCAAAGACATGGAATGAGTGTTGTATTGACCTTGCATGACAGGAGCGCCCTCTGTCTTCAATGCTCTGCAGCAGAACCAGGGAAATCCTAGTTCTTTAAGGGAAGAGAATGCTTATGATCAGAGGTCTTGCCAAATGCTAGGTAAAAATGCTACATAGAAAACTTAGATGCTTCAACAAAACTGTCAGCTTTGGTAGGGAGATGCAACTGGCACCAACCATTAAAAAAAAAAAAAAGCTGGGTGCTGGTAGCCAAAGATCCCAAATGCATGTTTGGGCTGGGGCTCACTTTACTGCACAGCCAGCCACACAGAATGACGGCTTGAAAAGGCATAAAGCCGGGAACCAGTGGCTCACTCCTGTAATCCTAGCTACTCAGGAGGCTGAGATCTGAGGATCATGGCTCAAAGCCTGCCCAGGCAGAAAGTCCGTGAGACTTTTTTTCCTTTTTCTGTAAAGATGCTATACAGAGGGGTTACAGTTTATGAGACTCATCTCCAATTAGCCACCAGAAAACTGGGAGTGACACTGTGGTAGAGCACTAGCCTTGAGATGAAGAGCTGAGGGACAGCGCCCAAGCCCCACGGCCAACCAAAAAGAAGGCATAAAGCAAATCAGAAGTCTCATGGTGCTGTGTGTGCTGATCTTCCCACACTGGCTGTGCGTCCAGCCCACAGGGCCGTGAACCATGTATGGCCTGCCTGCACAAGGGCATCTCTGTGACTCAATTGTTCCACTGCTACAGCACACTGAAGGACCAGAAATGGACACAGCCAGCTTGGTTAAACAAGATGGCCTTAGAATCATTATAGCGGTGTCTGTCCACGGAACCTAGGGTTCAGGAGATGAGGCGGAGGTGATTGGTTCTGAACCAGTAAACCACACTTACCTCAGGAGAGGGAGTACACATGCTTAATCTAGTAACTGCAAAGAAACTACTGACTTTCTTCTACCATGCCACCCAGCAGCTTAAAACCACAATGAGCACAGTTTTACTGGCTTGGGGGGGGGTGGAGGGGGGGGGGGCCACAGTCCCGGGGAGGAGGGGGGGAGCGCGTGGCCACAGTCCCAGGAGGAGGGGGGGAGCTCAGCCACAGGGGATGGAGGGGGGGGGGGCTCAGCCATGGAGTGCTGGCCTCGTGTGTGAGATCCTGAGTGTGATTCCCTCCTCCCCTTGAAGCAAAGGTGCATGTCCACTCATGACCGTGAAGATGTCTGTCACTGTGAAAAGCTCATGTCCCCCATGTGGCTCTTCGCCAAACAAGCCACATACTCCTGAAGCAGATTCCGATTGCAGACTTGATATTCTCCTGTGGTGGACAAGAGTGACCCTTAGGTTCTGCCGCCTACAGGAAGCACTGCTGATAAAGAATACTCCAGAAACGAAATGAGATGTTCTCAAATTTTATTGTTCAAGTTAACATCCTTGCTGTGGAAGCACATACAGTCACAACGAACAATTCACTTCAGTTCCTCCGACCAAGACGTAGGTATGCTTTCTAGAACAGTCCAACCGAATCCACTGAGAAGGTAGCACAGATCCATTAAGTCTCAAAAAATAGACTTTGTAGAACAAATCCAAACATTAACCACACGCCCATCCGACCCCTGCAGCTCAGGCCCATCCCCTCCCAACGCCAGCCAGGCTGCTGCACCGTGGGCGGCAGCAGCCACTTCCAGTCTGCCGGCTAAGCCGCCATCCTTACGTCCACAAGTGCTCAAGACCAAGTATTCCAAGAGGTAACACACGCAAGACTACTCCCGTATCCGAATGAGAGAGCCCCACATTGGTATAAGGAGCCTTCCCCCTTCTCATGAACCCAGTTCCCAACCTGCCACGCAATGGATGCCTGTTGCAAACCCAGACAGACACCACCCCCACCCCCACCCCACCTCAAGCCGCCGGGGCCCACAGCAGCAGCCACGGCTCCTCTAGAACCATAGCACTCATCAAGGTCTCTGGAAGACGCACAGTGATTCCACGAGCCACAGCATCCTGCCAAAACCCCTGACCAACCAACCACACAAGTTGCATAGCAAGCTAACCTGGACAAGGGGTGTTCTGACCTCTGGGCACTTTTCCCTGGAATCTTCTGAAATGTCTCAATACACACATACACACACACACCCCACCACGTGCACACACACGCACACACACAGATCCAACCACACCCAGCAGGTGCCCAGTCCACCCTGCAGTCACGTTTCAAGAAGAGTATGCAAAATAAGTGTTATAAAATTTATTTGTGTAAGCATCCAGACACTTCGGGGTGGGAACGATGATAGGTGGAGTCAACTAGGAGGTCCAGAGAACGTGGCGTGGGGAGGGGTGGTGTGCGTGGCACACACACCGCGTGGCAGGGTTCCACACAAACACTGGGTGAGAGCGCTTCCTCTGGGAGAAACGTAAATGTAATAATTTAAAGCTTCAGGAGACAGATATGTATGTTCCAATTTAAAACACTAAGAAATAGTACCATCAATGACAAAGGAAATCAACTTCGAAGTGTACCAAAAGGGATGGAGAGAGACAAGAGGGAAAGCTGCACTGGCCAAGGTACAAAAAGGAGTGTTCTAGAAGAGGGGTAGGAATTATTATTAATGGCAAACCCTGCAAATACAAAACAAAACCCAAATCACTGGTCACAGAATTCAAAATGTACATGTAATAAAGGCAAGGCAATAGACTCAAGTTATGGCCTATCAAATATTTACTCCACTGACAATTATCTACAGAAGCACGTGGCCAGTGTGTACACAGTGATTCCTGATGCACGCCAAAAGGGTCTCGGTAGAAATGACACTATATACAAATCTGTACACCGACCACCCAGCGCGGCTCGTCTCCCGGGGAGTGCCAACGTACAGCGGGTACCTGAGGTTTCACGTCTTAGTCGCCTATCATAAGCCCAAATATACATTTCAGGGTTTGTTTTCATTTTTAAAGAGACTTTCCTTGAATATATGTGCACTATGGTTAAAATTAAAAACAATAAAAAAATAAAATAGTTGCTTAAAGGGGCAGCCCCTCCTCGCCCCAGCCCAGGCTGCATCTGGCTGTGGCCCAGCGAGGATGGGCGCCTGTGGCGTCCGGGGCTCCGCCCTCGGCGGCGCCTCTTCAGCAGAGTCGGCCGGAAGGCCCTCGTTGACTTTAAAAAGGAGGATGATGAAGAGAAAAGGAAAACCACAACCCGAGCCGGAAGGAATTTCAGTGGGATGAAGTTCCTCCGCCACTTAGTGAGTATCTAGGGAAAACAGTAAGAAATCCAAGTGAGTAACTCCTAGGCCAATTCACATAACCACAATCTTATTTCTTTATAGAAAATTACAAGTCATTAATAAGTTTTTTTTTTAAGTCTGGAGCAAGTACCAACGGCTTCATGAGTGGACTCTACAAAGAATTACAAAGAATCACAGTTCCCACACACACACTTCACAGGGCACTAAAGTGATTAACAGCTAATTCAGATGGACCAGATTTTGATGATGGCCAACCACAAAGGCAGCCCAGGTGCATGTGTGTACAGCTGATGTGTCCCCAGTGCAGAAACGCCTATGGCCGCCGTAATACTGATGTGGCCCGGAAGATCTGTAGTTTCAGAAACACGGTCCAAAGGGGACATCACATATTCCACAAAGATCCTTTCTCCAATGTTTTGTTTTTAAATCTTTTGATTTTCAACAGTCAAAGGTTGTTATACCAGCTGTAAGATTAAGGCTGAGATCTGAGGATCGTAGTTCAAAGCCATGATCAAAGTCTGGACAGAAAAGTCCCTGTGAGACTCTTATCTCCAACTAATCACTCAGAAATCAGAAGTGGAGCTTGACTCAGGTGGTAGAGTGCTAGCTAAGGGCACAAAGAGATTAATGGACAACGCCCAGGCCCTGAGGTCAAGCCCCACAACCAACCCCTACCCCCCCAAAAAAGGTCAATGGAATTGAGACCACACTGCACTATAAAATCAGAAATATTGCCTTTGTAAGCCTCAAAAATAAATGTATGCCACTAGGTAAGAGGAGGCAGTGTTAGAGAAATCAGAAATACACTGAAGTGAGCAAGTAAGTAACTTTCTAATTCTGTTTTCCTTCATGTCTACAATTTTACGTTGCCTTTAGTAGAAAAGGGGGAGTAAGGAGAATCATTTTAAAAACACATTATTGCTCCAAGATTGGAAATAGTCGAGGAAACAATCCTAAACTTTAAATTTAAAAGCTCAACCCAAGTATAGGTAGGCAAAACTACTGGGGAGGGGAGGGCGCCCTCTGCAGGCCATGGCCGGGGCTGCAAGGTAAGCTTCGTGACTGGTCTCTCAGGCACTAGTGAATAACTGCTGGTTGCACAGAGCTGCCTGCTCAGTATCAGGTCACCTCTTGGAAGCTGGAGAGTCCAGTCTGGGCACTGGACTCAAAGCCCAAACCCCACGAAGCGGTTCCATGTGGGAGAGGACTCCTGATGCCCAACAGGCTGCTATGTAGACCTCTAAAAGCCATTCTGGATCTCCAGAGCTGCCTTGTATGCTCTCCAAACCCGCCCCTTTAGTTCACGTAATTCAGGCCTCTGCAGCCTGGAGTCTGCGGTCAGCCCAAGAATGAAGAGCCTCAAGGGGGGCCCGGGTGCCTGGAGGCAAGTACCTCTGCAGCCGCTGCACCAGCTGCGCCACCATGGTGTCAGAAATCCCCGGGCAGGCCTCTTCCGCCAGATAGATGGCTCCCCGCAGCTCTTCTATGGACCCCAGGTTGCCCCCACACGCCTGGCTCTTCTCCTTCAGCTGCAAACACATGCAAGAGGACTGGCGTGACACACGTGCACACGCAGCACCTGCTTCGTACTCACGTGGGCCCTGCCACCACTGTACAGGCACAGAGCTTAGTCATCATGGCCCCAAAGAACTCTGGGAATGGCATGTACAGATGTAGTCCCAGCTGGGCCTGAACTGACCTCCCCTAGCCTTGTCCACTTTGGATTTGGATGGATGGTCATCTGGTCCCAGAAAAGCAGTGTTAGCATCTGACAGCTCCCAGGGCTTCCACACCACAGCGGCAGCCGCCCGGGCTGAGTGGATGGAACAGCGCCCGCCGCGTTCTGTCCACAGTGCTGCCACGTGCTCTCACGCATGCAAGTACATGGCAGCCCCGGATCCTGACAACCCCAGTGTCTTCACCTCTAAGGTCATCCCCAAGTCCTTCCAGGGAGCACCCCCATGTGCAATGTGACCCTGAGCGCCGCTCAGGACCACAGGCCTCCCAGCAGAGCCTGGCGCCCCCTCTGGACGATCCGACGATCCTCTCCCCGTCAGCTTTACATGTGCTCTGCGGGGCATGGGAAACATGGCACTGCCAGACCAAGTGTCACCCCCTCCCTCCGAATGTGGTCGATGAAGGGAGGCACTAAGGGCAGAGCAGGGAAGGGACCGTGGCGCCTGCACTCTGTCACTTCCCAGTGCTCACAGCACAGCCCACCCCTCCACCCACACCTGGTCTCAAAGGAGGAACTAGGAAAGGGTGGAGGGGCAGCCCCGGGAAACACCAAAATGCACTTCTACTGGGGGGGGGGGGGCTCAGGCTCCCCCCAGGGTGTGAGGGGGCTCCAGCACGTCCACGTGGTGGGACTGGGAGGGTGCTGGCGGCACGGGCTGGGCACACACACTGAGCCTGAGATCAGTGAAATGATCTGTGTGTGGCTCCTCCCACAGCAGCCAGTGGGACATGGGGTCCCACGCAGGCTCCTTGAGGCAGCCCCTGGGGAAAGCTGCTGAGTGGGGAAAGCCGGGGAAGGCTGCCCCACAGAGGCCCAGAGCACCACACAAACAGTGGGTAAGGGGCACTGGAGGAGTTCCAGGGGACACGCGTCTCCTTCAAAGGAAAATCGACTTCTCAGGTTGCCCCAAGCGTGCCTGAGGCAGGGACTGGGCCGCACCCGGCCCTATCTGCAGACTTCTCCCGTGGGAGTCACAACAGAAGATGTCTGCCCGGGTGGCACCTCACCCCGGGCAGAGCGCACACTCACCGAGCCTCTTTGTGGCCACGCCCATGTGGGTGGGTGATGCGCCCACCGAAGCAGGGACCTGATCCCCACTTTGCTCCCTCACCGCTCCCCAGAAAGCATCCAGGGATCTTACCTCTGCAAACAGAGGAGAAATAATCGTGGATAGACACTGAGAGAAAGGCCTCTTTGGGATGTCTTTCATCTTGGGAAAGAAAAGAAAAGGCCGTGAGAGGCAGGCACATAAACGCGGGCAGTCACTCAGTAAACGACACACCTGGCGCTGCCCACTCCACAGACCCCCCCCCCCAACGGGACCGGCTCTGCTCCGCTCCGCTCGCTGTGTCTCTTACAAGACTACCAAGTGTAATTTGTAGTCAGAGGCAAGCCCCCCTCAAAGCTGAGATGGCAGCCAGGTGTGCTCTGTGGATGCAGCTGTGCTGTACCCCCCTGCCTCGTGGTGCCTGTGAAGTACTTTGCTGGACAGGGGAATCAGGTAGGTGGCTGTCGGATGAGATGTCTGTCTCCACTTTCACACCTCCACACAAACTTCCAGCCACTTTGGCACAGAAGCACAGCCACTTTTTGGAGGAGGAAGTGCCAGTACTGGGGCTTGAACTCTGCACCTGGGAACTGTCCCTGAGCTTCTTTTGCTTAAGAGTATGCTTAAGACTAAGAGCTCTGCCACTTGAATCACAGTTCCACTTCCAGCATTTCATGGTTATCTGCAGCTAAGAGTCTCACAAAGCCAGCACTGGTGGCTCACGCCTGTATCTTAGCTACTCAGGAGGCTGAGATCTGAGGATCGCAGTTCAAAGCCAGCCCAGGCAAGGAAAGTCCTCACCCCCAATTAACCACCAGAAAACCAAAAGTGGCACTGTGGCTCAAGTGGTAGAGCACTTGCCTGGAGCTGAAGAGCTCAGGACAGTACCCAGACGCAGAGTTCAAGCCCTACAACTGACCCTCCCCTCCCCCCGCCAAAAAAAAAAAGTCTCACAAACTTTCCTGCTGGGCTGGCTTCAAACCATGATTCTGGTATGTGGGCCTCCTGACCCAGCAGGGCTGTTTTAATAAGACCTTAAATATAACTTGTAAATTTAAGCAGTTATAAAACCAATCCATCAAAACTAAATTTTATGTCAGTCCCAAAAGCAGTATATTCTTTTGTAAGACCCTTGAAACTCTGGTGTGTTACACAAGCGAGTCCAACAGGCAGGCACACGTAGGTTCATACGTGAACGTTCAGGCCTAGGGCCACGGAGGGTCAGGGAGTAAAGGTGGCGGTGCCTGGCACTGCAGAGCAGGCCAGCAGCCAGGTCTCGGGTTTAGTGATACCGCAGTGGGGTTGCTTCCAGGAACCCACCCACTTCACAGCAAGCCCTCGGCAAAGAGCCTGAGCCACCATACCTTATTTCTTTCCAACTCCGACGGCTGCAGAGCTCCGTTTTCCAGGTTTTTGGGATCCTTCTCTCGGATGGTGAAGATCCAGTCCCCAGAGTCACTGCCTCCCGATGCCTGGCCATCCGTTTCCCTGAAGGCAGAGACCCCACTGAGGTGTCACAGAGGCCAGCCCCTGCTAACTGGACTGAACACTTGCTGCCCAACCCTGGGGGCCCCCTCCTGAGCCACATTTCACCGTTGTTCCCCACCACTGCATCCACTACAGTCCACCTGACCAGTCCCTTGGGACTTCCCGCTGTCACCCTGTGCCAGTGGCATCTGTACCCATGCTTCCCCAGCATACTCCTCCACAACCATCTGCCTGCCCTTCTGCTGGCCTCTCTCTTGGGCCTCAATTTCTCTCTTCGTGCCCTTTCTTGTCAAGGCTGAAAGCATGCGCTCCTTCCTTCCCTGGCCATGACCCTCTCAGTTACAGCCTTATATGGTCATCTCCACCTTTCATGCCCACCTGTGACCCAGAAGGGGGAGCCTGTTCAGTCCCCAGAACCCTCTCATCATCCCCAACGCTGCTGCAGCGGGCCCAGTGCCCGGGCTCCTCCTCGGCAAGGCGCCACACGCACTCCAACCACTCTGGTTTGCCGCCCTGGAACCTGGGCCCAGGCTGGCTCTTCTTATGAGCCACACAATGAGTAACATCATCTGTTCTCAGGGCTCTAATAACTGCACACACACCCCAGTCCTGAGGCTTGTACGCTGCACTTCATGGTCTGGCCATGCCCCACCTCCCTGTGACCTGTGAAATGGCCACCTCCTTCTCGGCACCCAGGAAGCAGCTCCAAGTCAACACAATGCACAGCAAACATGGCCTCCAGCGCTTTCTCAGGGTAACAGTACCCCCGCTGCCCACAACTGAACAGCTTCCCCTCCTTTACACAAACCTGCCGCCACATCCTGATCTCGGAACCTCCCCTGCTCCCCAGCCTGCCGCCCACAATCTGCCAGCTTATCACCTCACCAACCTCCAAAGCCAGTGGTCTCCATCTTTTCTGTAAAGAGAGGTATCCTGGGGATCTGAAGAACCATTTTGTGTCTGTCCTGAAAGTCCCCACCATGTCTCAGTGTGTGTGTGTGGGGGGGGGGTGCAGGTAGGGTAGGCTGGGGGTCCACCCTGTTAGTCATGACCATGCACCTCCTTTCCCCCCACTGCTCCCCACATGGAAGATCCAAACCCCTTCATCACTCGCCAGCTCCAGAAGCTGGGTGCTGAGCCAGAGCCCAGCATTCAGTGTAGTCTCCCCACACACAGCCTCTCCCACACCAAGGATCTACCAGAAGGCCAACAGGGGCCCACAAAATATACTCAAGGGTCTGATGATGTACTTTAGGAGGAGGAAGTGTAACAAAAGAAATGGAAGCCAGGTCAAGCTCTGTCACACTGCTGCTATTCAAAGAATCTCCACAGGCTCCACGAGAGGCTGAAGATTCCTATACAGGTCTTAGGGGTGCGTGTGCACATCACCGTAGACCCACCTGACCCACATAAGGGACAAACCGGATATCTGTGCCCCAACGAGTGAGCGGCAGCGACAGCCGCACACCGGCAGGCCGGGCAGGGACTTACGCATCCGAGTCCTCGGAGCTCGAGTCGTCATGGCTCTGCTCGGCCTTCCACCTCTTGTACCTGTCGATCAGCTCAGTCAGATAGGAGGTTTTCTTTGCATTGCGGATTATAAACTTGTGCTTCAGCAATTCCTTAGCGGTGGGTCTCTGGAAAACATGCATGTGGCCAAAGCGTGAGCTGAAGCTCTTTCTAGCTTACCCCCTCAACCCCGAGGACAGACTGCCTCAGAACATCACACACAGAGACATCAGCATTGGGCTCTGCTTCCAAGCTTTTCCTGAGGCCTCACGCTTTACCCAGGCACAGACTTGGGTCACAGAATAAACCTAATACTCAGTACTCAACAGGGTCCTCAACATAGCTCGAACCTGGCTATCAAAGCCAAATGACCCTCTCCCGAATACACCTTTGCAGAACCTGCGCGCGCGTGCGCGGTCGCTCACAGCTGCTCAGAACCTCACAGAAGACAGGAGAGCGCGGCGGCCCACGGCGCCTGCGCAGAACCTCACAGGACACGGGAGCATGCGGCCATCCACAGCACCTGCTCAGAACCTCACAGAAGACGGGAGAGCGCGGCGGCCCACGGCGCCTGCGCAGAACCTCACCGGAGAGCGGACACGGGAGCATGCGGCCATCCACAGCACCTGCTCAGAACCTCACAGAAGACGGGAGAGCGCGGCGGCCCACGGCGCCTGCGCAGAACCTCACCGGAGAGCGCGGCGGCCCACAGCGCCAGCGCAGAACCTCACAGGACACGGGAGAGCACGGCGGCCCACGGCGCCTGCGCAGAACCTCACAGGACACGGGAGAGCACGGCGGCCCACGGCGCCTGCGCAGAACCTCACAGGACACGGAGAACCCGGCCGCCCACGGCGCCTGCTCAGAACCTCACAGGACACGGGAGAGCGCAGAGGCCCACGGCGCCTGCTCAGAACCTCACAGGACACGGGAGAGCGCGGCGGCCCACGGCGCCTGCGCAGAACCTCACAGGACACGGGAGAGCGCGGCAGCCCACGGCGCCTGCTCAGAACCTCACAGGACGCGGGGGAGTGCTGAGGCTCATGGCGCCTGCTCAAAACTTCACAGAACACCGAGAGCCTGTGCAGAACCTCACAGAACACAGGAGAGTACGGCAGCACACAGCACCTGCACAGAACCTCACAGACCACAGGAGAACCCGGCCTATGCAGGGCGCCTATGCAGAACCTCACAGGCCACGGGAGACCAGGCCACCCCCAGAGCCTGCACAGAACCTCACAGGGCACAGAGGGGAGCAGCCACCCCCGGGTGCCTGCGCAGTACCTCACAGGGGAGTGGGGCGACCCACGGCGCCTACATAGAACATCACAGGACGCCCACTTAGGTTAAGACTTACCAAGGGGTGTCCTGGTCTATTGCTGGCTGTGCCAGAAAAGTCAGACATAAAACAAGGGCTGTGGGGCGCCTGTGGCTCACGCCTGTAATCCTAGCTACTCAGGAGGCTGAGATCTGAGGATCATGGTTCAAAGCCAGCCCAGGCAGTAAAGTCCATGAGACTCTTATCTCCAATAAACCACGCAGAAAAACCGGAAGTGGCGCTGTGGCTCAAGCGGTAGAGTGCTTGCCTTGAGCTGAAGAGCACAGGGACAGAGCCCAGGCCCAGAGTTCAAGCCCCATGACCGACCAAAAAAAAGGGGGGTGGGGGCCTAAGGTAAGCACCAAGACGGTCAGATTTCAGAAAAATGTCCTGATTCCAAGAGAAAAGAGGCGGAACTATGCAGCAGTGGGTGCCGCGGCTCCCCATGCGATGGCCAGGTGATTGGTACATCTATCACCCTGTACCCTTGGTTCTTGTTTCCTAGAGCATGCAAGCTGGAAACTGATGAACACCAAGTAGAAATGAACACATTAAAGATCCACTACCATTATTTTCCAGACTAGAAGTTGCCATTACTAAAAATAGCTTTATCGTTTAAGTCTGATCTTCCTCTATAAATACTAAAAAATTCATGAGTCCTTATGTGGTAACAAGGAGACTATTCTTTAGGCTCAATGCGGCATGAGATGACAGAAAATCTAAAATAAAATAATCTTTAAAAGGGAGAAATGACAATAAAGGCGTATTTGCAATTCAAAGAAAGCAAGCAGGGTTGGAGGCAGCAAGCTGTATGGGACAGGGCTGGGAGTGGTGAGGCCATGCAGGGCAGACTCACAAAGCTGGGCTCCTTGTTCAAACAGGCCTCCACGAACTCCTTGAGGGGCTTGCTGTAGCTTCCTTCCAGCGTCGGGGGATTGTTCTTTGGAATGAGGAATAAAACCTTCATGGGGTGCAGTTCCGAGTGGGGTGGCTCCCCTTTGGCCAGTTCTATGGCTGTAATGCCCAGGGACCAGATATCTGCCTGCAACACAAGAGCAGCTTGAGGGTGCGGACAGAGACTCATTCAAGCCAATACCTAGGAAAAGAAAACACATCTGTCAATGTATAGCTGAAGTTTTGGAAAGGGTACTTGTGGCTGATGGAGATGTAGGCAAAGTGTCTACCACAGTACCCAGAACTTAAATGAATAATGTTTCAGATACACGCAGAAATAGAAAATATTAATGTAGAGTACCACTGTAAGTCCATCGCACAAGTTTAATTACTTAATGTTTTGTCATACAGAGACTGGATTTGTTGCCACAGTGTATTTTGAAATAAACTACCCATCAGGAGACACCGCCCTAATAGTGTGGTACTGTGAAAGCATTTTACTCCTCGGCACGTGATGTCTGCCTTGCAGGCAGGGGTACGGCAGCAATGTAGTCTGTGCAAACCACACTTGACTTCAAGTCTGGACCTCATCCTGGGGTCTCCACACAGTCACAGCTGCCACCACTCCCAGGCAGCACTGTGATTAACCAGAGGGGCAAGGCTGCCAGACCCAGTGCTCAGAGGTTAGGTGGAGTCCCTGCATTTTCAATTCAAAATGGGTTTATCAAGGACTATCTTTTTTTTTTGGGGGGGGGGAGGGGTCAGTTGTGGGACTTGAACTTGGGGCCTGGGCAGTGCCTCTGAGAAATTTTGCTCAAGGCTAGAACTCTATCACTTTGAGCCATAGCTCCACTTCTGATTTTTAAGTGGTTAATTGGAAAGTCTCATGAGAACTTTTCTGCCTTGGCTGGCTTTGAACCACTATCTTCAGATCTCAGCCTCCTGAATAGGATTACAGTCAGCCACCAGTGCCCAGCTGGAATTTTTTAGTAGCATGTAACAATTAAATTTCCCCTATTACAGAAACCTCACATGCCAATCAATGGGTAGGTTGTCCAAAGCTCTTTTCATTGAGAACAATCCATGTGCCACCCTTCCTACTGCCCTTTAGGCTTTATTTTTCACATAGTGGTTTTTGTTTTTTTCTCAGCCAGCCCCAGACCATGACCTACCTGCCACCTCTCATGCTCATACCCAGATGTTCTTTTACATGTTTTCATTAACTTTTTTGCCTGGATAGCCTCATCCCCTAATCAGCTGGCCATAGTTTTTACAACAAGCTCAAGGCAAAAGCTACAAGGATGGTAGCGGGTCCTTTCTGAGCAGCAGAGCAGTACTTTCAGGCAGCAGCTCCTGAGTGACCTCAGGAACCAGCCATTCCTGACAGCCAAGGCCCTTTTTGCCATGGCAGCAGGGTGGGAAAGGGTATAGAACATTCTAAATGTCATGACAGCATGTGGGACAAAACAAGCTGCCTACTAATCTGAAGATGTAATACAACTTATTTAAAACTATACATAGAAAACAATTCTAGAAGAAACCCTCATCAACTCTCTAAAATCAAAGGGAAAAACACAAGCAAAATACAAACATGTATATTTCTGAGTCAAAATTCTAGGCTATTCAAAACAAAACTGGTTTTAGTAGTTTCATGTGTACTGCAAAGTGTGTAGCACAGAAGTGGAATCTAGAGGCATAAAAGACATTTATGCATGATCTAAAATATCCAACATTACACATGCTAAAACAAGTCCAGTGTCACCTGTCTCCTTGTTCCTATCACTCCTGGCCTCCTGCTCTAGGCCTGAGGTCGTGAAGGGGAGGGTTAGGAGCAGGGAGTACTCACAGGAGGGCTGGCTTCTCTCTCTAGGACTGAGATGATATGGGGGAGGGGGAGGAATAGGGTTGGGGGGAGGGAGTCCTCACAGGAGGGCTGGCTAGTGGCTGGATTCTCCCACAGCTTTAGCAACATCACTATTTCCCACCCACATAGCTCCTACTGCAGGAAGATGTTTCAGGCTCAGTTTACTCGGTGAATGGAGTCTACAACCCAAGCAGACTTTCCCTCCCCACAAGTGGTCTCCGCGCAAATTGACCTAAGAGCCAACCAAGGCAAACACTGCAGCTGAGCATGCATGCTCAGATACCAAGCCAACCATAATTAGAGCTGTTGGCCAGAGCTACGTTCGATGAATGGCAGATAGGGTGTGGCTCCTGAGTAGCTAGATAGGCCCCACCAGAGACAAGGTTAGCCCCGTGCAGCCCCACCACCTGATGTGCACACTGCATGCTTCCAAGCCAGCAATCCAGCAGTCCACATCACGTGACACGTGTCTGCACCTGCTTTCACCTGAGTCATGAAGTATGATCCAAGCCCACAAACAGCTTTTGACAAGTCAGTCAAAGGCAAGTATTAAAAGGGTGAAAAGGGGGATGTACTTTTTCATGCTACCTCCTTACAAACTAGCCAGTGTTCCTGCAATCTCCAGACGGTATCTTCATCTAGCCAACCGATCTGGACCTCACCAAGCATCTTCTGCAATGGTGACAGAGAGGCCTTGCACCAGGACTAAGTTATCAGCACAGCTCACAACACCAGGAAAGCTCTGGAAGAAAAATTCTAGCAGATACTGGAACCCTAACTATACAGAAGGCTGAGGCCTTAAGTAACTCACTTCCAAGCTGATCTGGGCAGCAGTCTAAGAGACTCAGTCTCCAATAAGCCAGTAAAAAGCTGGCTGGAAGCATGACTTAAGTGGGAGAGGGCTAGCCAAGCAAGCAAGCTGAGCAAGTACAAGGCCCTAAGTTCAACAACCCCCAGTACCACCAAAGAAAGAAAAACTGTAAGCTGGACTAGACATAACTAAACTGGTAGAACACCAGCCATGAGTAAGAAAGAGTTCAGGCCCTAGTAAAGAAAGGAAGAAGCCGAGCGCCAGTGACTCATGCCTGTGATCCTAGCTACTCAGGAGGCTAAGATCTGAGGATTGAGGCTCAAAGCCAGCCTGGGCAGGAAAAATCTGAGACTCTTAACTCCAAAAAACTACCAGAAACCAGAAGTGGTGCTGTGGCTCAAGTGGTAGAGCACTAGCCTTGAGCTGAAGAGCTGAGGGACAGCACGTAGGCTCAGAGTTCAAGAACCAAGACAGGAAGGAAGGAAGGAAGGAAGGAAGGAAGGAAGGAAGGAAGGAAGGAAGGAAGGAAGGAAGGAAGGAAG